CAAGCTTAAGATCTTTATGAGTATTCCATTAAAATTCTCCGGAAATATATCATTAAATACATTTTTTAAGATTTTCGAAACAAAAATAAGATTTAATTTTTATATAATTATGGAGCAGAGTTTTGGTAATTAGAAATGTTTGATGACATATAAAAAATGTATGTACATATTCATGAAAAATGTTCTATGGTTTGAACCTAGTACATCAATTTGAAGGTTTCACATAGAATGTGAACTTTATTTTGTTACGTGTCAATTCCCAAATTGAAACAATATGTCAACCCAGAAACAACCAACCAACAAGTGGGTTACAATCAAGAATGTATTACAAAATTCACTAAGTGTACAAATCAATACAAATTAATGCACATCAATTACAATGGTAGTACAAAATAGAGTGGTAGTACAATATTCAATGGCAATATACAATATGATGACAGTGGTCAGTATCAAATACAAAAATACAGTGGGGATAGCAAAAGTCAGTGATAATAATATATATTCACATAGCGGCGACAGTGGTCAATCTTCCGAGAAGGGCTTGGCAGGAAATCAGGAATGATGAGCGATCCTCACATGAAAGCTGGTTGAAAAGCGATGGAAATGAGGGACACGCTATTGTTCCCTTTTGTAGTCTTAACAATGTTTACATACAACACTAGCATCTAAATATATTCACTTCCTGCGACTGATCACTGTCCAAACACAATGCAATGAGCTTCTACCGAAACTCAACAGAAACAACGTAACACAGTTACAATCATTGATAAAAACAAAAACACACAGTCATATAACAATAAGGATGATAACGTTTTGAAGTAAATTAGTTAAAATGTCTGTAACAAGATATATAAAGAAATGTTCCAACATGGTATTACTCTGTGATCAACAATTACAGACTGACTGGGCATCATCTGTTAAATATCAGTCTCATACATATGGTAATGGTAATGTATGGACGGAACAGGACGCGGACATACCCGATCATTTCATAGGCGCTTTAACGCAGACCTTGAAAGATATTGATAGACAACAGAACTCGCTGCTTCAGGTCAAACGTTGTTATTCGTTAGAGTTTCATTGTACAACTGACAAAACGGTCATCTCATCACACAACACAATCAAGGTAACATTCTATACTTACAACTGTCAACTTTTTTCAACAATTCACGCGCTTTCATAACAACACCAGAACATCCGGAATGAGAGTTATCTCCCTTACATTATTCCTCCCTCTTAGACCACGTCCTATGATACAAGACATTAATTCATTTCCCACATGTTAAATAAGATAATATATACATCCAATAGTATTTCTTTAACTTCCATCAGCAGATACAATCCTTATCAATTTACTTATACATTTAAAATATATTTACAAAATCTACAGTATATTGACTTAAAACATATACATGCTGAATTGGACATTTGTCTTTCTCAAAGAATATCAATCAGTTTCCATACACCAGATAATCACTTAACCACAAAGGAGTTCTTCTTGTTCTTAAAGACTGTCTCTGCTCCCGAGCAGCAACATTGGCATGGTTGATGTCACAGTCACTAGTAGCACATGAGAAGATACGATTCCTGTATGTTGTCAGGCTGCTCTGCTCCTCGACAACAAAAGGTCCTTCCCATCTCTTTGCATTAAGTTTTTTGCTGGTTCATGAATTATTTTCAGGATGAAATAATGAGATCTTCTCCCCCTTTTTATAAGGAACAAATTAAGTCGTGTCAGCACGGATCCTTAGGCAAGTGACTTTGTTCGAAATATGCCTCTGTTCATCCAGCAGTGAGTGGGTACCCGGTAGGCTGATAACCTTCTAGCGCCTCACAGGCAGTTTGGGTTGTATACTCCCAAGGGAGCTGAGAATCGAGCACTGACTGATCCATTGACCGGGGTAATAATAGTGTAGCTCTATGAGCATCCGCTTGGTGAATGGAATCTGGCGTATTATAAATGCACTTATTATTATTATTTATCTTAGAAAGTCTAAATGAAGGATCCAATGTTTCACTCGAACGAACATCCAAATGCATCTTGTTCTGAGCATTACGTCCGAACATCACTATATATTGTGTTTCATCTGTCACCATATTTTGGGGTTGTTCTAATGACCCTCAATGCAGCTGGAAGTATCAGATCCCAATCGTTCTGGTCCTTAGCTTCAATGAGTACAGCAAGTCTTTCTGATAGTGTCCGATTCATTCTCTCGATCTGACCATTACACTGTGGATTATAAGGTGTCGTGCGGGTGCGTCGCATTCCCAGCTTGACACAGAGCTCTTTAAGTAAGTTTGCTTCAAAATTCCTTCCTTGATCAGAGTGTAGCTCATCTGGGACACAATAACAACAGACAATTTCATTGTAGAGGACGGTTGCTGTTATTTGAGCCGATTGGGCTGGCACTGCAAACGCCTCCACCCATTTGCTGAAAGGGTCTGTCAACACAAACAAGCTGACGTCTATCCATGGGAGAGGAAAACTGTCCCCTAAACAATGATCATTTAAAGCGCGAAAATCCACTAATGGACTTGACCATGGACTATGACTTGGCCGGATCAAGCCAGCCTGTAAACTTTCATCAACAAAGTCTGAAATCTTGCTCTTGGCATCATGTGAAAATCGCCGAGGCTTCTGTGCAATAGGCGCTGCATTTCCAGTAGGAATAGAATGTTCAATCCACAGAAAACACATCACCATTTGACTGTATTATCTTGTACAGCCTGTGTTTGTCATTCTCCCCAATATGTGATGAATTAGCAAGGTCGCCAGCGATCCTATCCATTTCCTGTTTCCTGTCATGTGTAGCTGCTGAAGCATCTTTCATAGGTAATGTAGCAATTACAGGTGAATCATCCGTTGTAGGTGAGAAAGTTCCAACCACAGATCAAATTAGTCAAATGAAGACATACCTTGTTATTGACTCAGAAGGTCTCTAACACTGGACCACATCCAACACCAAGCTATTCACTTTTAAATATCCCTGCTGATTCAATGACGCCTGTCATGCCTGGCTGCACTGATGTTGATACAGTTCCTTGAACCACATTCATGCTCCTAGGTGACCTTTTCACTGCATGATCCAAGTAAACATGGCATATGGATGGTGACATCGGCACTGTTGTAACAGAAGCTTGTATCTTCCTGTATTCTTTTGTATTTGAGTCATAGCACACAGCATCCCCCCATCGACACTTTCAATCCTAATTTTGGAAATAAATCCATGCCAAGAATTGCAGTATATGTGGAATTCTTCAAAACTGTAAACCTATGTTCACTCACTCTTTGTTCCCCAACTCTGCAATGTGTCAAAAGATCCCTGTCAACTCCACCTACTGTATGTGGAATAAATAGTGCTGGTAATCTCCTGCCCTGTGCTATTGGCTAAATCGTCTATAATAATACTCCTTTGAGAACCAGTATCAACTAACCACAAGCACTTCTCCCCTCCAACCTCTCCTTTTACTTCAATTCTACACGAATCAGTTCCTACTGTAGTTGCCGACACTTTAACTTTACCTGCTAGGGAGTTTCGGCTTCTCTCCCCAGCCACATCCAGTTTCCCCGGTTTGAACCTGGAAACTGTGCACGGCAGATTGCCTTTAAATCTCCATTATCCCTGTGAACCCTACCTTCCTTGATTTTGTTCACAATTTCTTGCAATGTGCCCTGGCTTACTGCACCTGTAACGATTTTACTGCAGTCTCCCTAGAAACAGCCACAACAGAAGCTGATTATTCTGGCTTGCTTCGAGTAAGGTCAGTTATTTTCTTGGCTAATTCAGTTAAAATAGCATTCTGTCCTTCACTGACGTTTTCTCCTGTTGCCACAAGCCTAACAGCTGTCTCCTTCCTCTCGATCTGCATTGCCTTCTTTACTAAGTTTTCAAAAGTAATATCATCTGCAGTTATCCAAGATAATTTTTGTCTCACCTCTGGATTTAGTGCTCTCATGTGGTGTGTTATTCTGAGTGCTGCTCTAGCAACAACATCAGTGACGTGAGGAAATGCCTTTGACACAAGATCTGTTATGACATATTTCAGCTGATAGCCGTTTCACCGACTTGAACCTGTCTAGAAACGCCTGTTTCATACCCGAGTACAATTGCTGCTGCTCCTCAGATAATGTTGTGAAAAATCGTTTGGCTTCTCCCTTCAGCGCTTAGTGAACGCACGCCACTGTCTTAGCTTCCGCAGTGATGTCTCCGACGACGAATAAACTTTCCAATTGACTCAAATGACTCTCAATATCACCCTCTTCACACTCGCCCCACTGTGATACTTGAGTTCATGTGTATATAACATGTGCTATTGGCCCATGGCCTCTCAATATCATATATAAATGCTACTGTTTGAATGCTTTAAATACCAGCCACAAACACCTTTCCATAATCATGAAATCCAAAAGCAGAATCTTTTGTGCTATTCTGACTGTAGTATAAGCATGTATTTATGATTCACCATCAAACAGTGATGATACCAGGTGTTCGCTAAAAGTTGGGTGTATCCTACCCGATGACTTGACTATCTGCATTGTCACAGAATAGACTAACCACGTGGTAACTAGCTTAACTCCCATAACTTACATTCCATAAACGTGCACGATTATGATAAATGAATGTTTTGCTTTTCAATTTCAGGATCTAAAAAGTCAAAAACTTATATGGAATGGGTGGCTTGGCCTTGTAAGTATACATCTTTTTCAAAAATAATCTGAAACAAGATGACCTCAGCTTATGGTTGCTGTTTAACAATTTGCATATAGCAACATGATCATCCTTTGCTGCACGCGATACATTGGGCCACAGTCGCCACTATATATGAAACAAAATAAGAATTGAGCGAATGTAAATTTGTGACATTCAAAACAGCACGAGTAAGCATGATATGACGTTGCAAAATATATGACAAATTTTATTAAGATGAAAATATTTACTGTTTCATTCTATTTTGTTTGGCTTTTTTGTCGATATAAATGCCACATATGTACTTGGCAGACATGGCATGATATGCTGCTCTCCTGGAACGCCAGCCAATATGGAGATCTCGACTTCATTACGGTGCCACAGACGAAGATCTGGCTCCCCGACTACGTCATTGACAATGAGTACGTATGACCAGAGATGCGTACGGACAACTGTCATTATTTCTAGATTATAGAGACACCATTTGGATAAGTGGGTGGTATTTACTGAACCAATTTGTAAAGGGAAATCATGTCTAAGCTCAACCGGGCACAACACTCCCATGCTAATTGGTTCACGTTGTGTCAATTTAGACATTGTGAAGACTTCTTTACCATACTGTTTACTAAAATGAAACTTAATAACTCGGACTTTATAACTCCATGTATCGTTTGAGTCTTTATAAGTTCATGGGCCCAAATGCTATTTATTCAATATTTTAATTTTAAAATTGGTTTGATTTTAAGCTTGGCTAGTTCCCTGGCCGACATATTTTATGGGTCCCCACAAACTGAGGTTTTGTTGTATTTTTATTGTTAAAGTATTGTACAATCTTTCATAGTGGCCTGATCCCATTTTCCTTCAATACAGTTCCCCTTTTTCTTTAAGGTTACTTATGCCTTCAAATATATAGTGCGTGAGTTAGAATTTAACGTCGCATCAGCATTATTCCAGCCATATCGCTAGCGACTATTAGGCCTTTCTATTAGTCGGAATCAAATAATCGATTCTGCTTTTACCAGAGATTTGTTATGATTAAGAATGAATTCTGTCGCTTTTATTTAGTGAAAAGCCATGGTAAAATATTTCCTAGTCAAAACACTTTAAATGTCTTTCTCCGCCAGCGTTTCTGCGAAAAGATTCTTGGGAAACTCGGACACTCTCGTATTTATTAGGAGCAGCGGATTGGTCACTTGGGAACCAGGGATGGTTAGTGAAACAAGCTGCAAAATTGACACCAGAAAGTATCCCTTTGACACCCAGACCTGTTCCTTTGACTTTCTTCCCTGGATGACAACAAGCAGGTTTTTGAACACTACAGTTTCATCCAACAAGATCCGAATGTCAGGTTTCATGCCACATGGAGAGTTCACAATAGCAGGGTCATCAGTTGCGTTGGCTCGCTTTCCGACAACATTTTCAGACGATGATTTGGTGGGGATAAGCTTCTCTATTGTGCTCAGCAGACGTCCGGCATTCTATTGGATGATCATGGTATTTCCAATGGTGACATTTCCACTGCTGAGTCCAATCAGCTTCCTCGTACCTGTAGAGTGTGGGGAGAAGATAACTCTGTCAATCACCGTGTTGTTGTCCTACTTGGTATTCATTGGGTCACTGAATGACGCGATGCCAAAGTTGTCCGATACAGTCTCTTTGATGGGTATGTATAAATGCGGATCCTACAAAGTGAAGATTCGATTTAAGGAGTTAGGGTCACTGCCACTTTTAACAGTTAAAAGGTAAACCTCGGACAATTGAAAACTATTTCACGCGGGGGAAAAATCACCAAAAATAAAATATCCTGTAGAAAACGTTCATTCAGTATTTTAATAACCTCATTAAGTGTCTCGTTTTGGTTAAAGTTTCTTTGTTGTTTAACGCCGCATTCAGGAATAATCCGTGTCAATAATCTGTAAATAATCGAGTCTGGACCAGACAATCCAGTTATTGACATGAGGATCGATCCACGTAATTGGGATCGATGACATGAATCAGCCAAGTCAGCGAGCCTGACCACCCGATCCCGTTAGTCGCCTTTTACAACAAGCATGATTGCCCTTTACGGCAAGCATGGGTTGCTGTAGACAAATTTTACCCCGGATCTTCGCGATTAAAGGATTTGATCTAATAACTGAAACGTGATGTTTGTTTTGCCTGCAAATTATGGTTGTACCATGAAGATCGGCTGACTTGGTTGCTGCATGTCATTGTATCTTGATTGCGTTGATCGATGCTCATGATATATCAATCACTGGATTGACCGCTCCAGACCCGATTATTTACAGACCGCCGTCAAGCTGGAATATTGCTGAGTGTGGCGTTAAACAACACTCAAACCAAAATCATACAATTGAATTAACTGAGACTAATATGAGTAACGTTAACAAATACATTCTTTTCAGTAATATATGCCTCCTTACAAACAACTGTCAGCATCCTCATAGTCGTCGCCAATGGAATCATCATATGTGTTCACAAACTGCCCTCAGACTTTCAAGTCACATTTCCCAAGTTTCCCAAGATGTCCCAAATGCTTGTGGCAATAGGGGAACAGAAGAAGTACCTGCCCAAAGGAGAGTCCCTTCAAAGTGTTACGGGTAACTCAGTGGGGTTGTGTCCAGATGACCAAACACCAGATGGGGCGTTTGAAGTAGAAAAGAATGCTGTGTCCAGACGTGACAATTGGATTCTATTTGCTCGTAGACTCGATAAGATTTGTTTCTCATGCTTCTTGTGTCTTACTATATTGGTGTCAGTTATATTCGGGATTCTTATTTCCCAATGAGTGGGTGAATGAGTAAATGCTGGTTAAGACTGTAATCTGCAATACCCCGTCTTTGTCATAGTGGTCTATACAAATAATGGAGCCTGGGCCTTGCCAACCAGTGTTCGATATCCACAAGTACTGGTCAGAAGCCATTTTTGTATGCCACTGGGTTGATATCATGGGGAATGGTCAACGGTGAAGACGTACGAAGTCACAAAATCAGAAGGATATTCGAACACTGACAAGCTTTTAAGGTACCTAATTATCATTGCAAAATGATTGATAAACTCGTGTGGATTCTGGGTTAGGAAATATGTGCCAATCGATTAGGTGTTGTGGTAAGATTGAGTGAGTATGGTTTTACGCCGCTTTTAGCAATATTCCAGCAATATCACTGCGGGGGACACCAGAAATGGGCTTCACACATTGTACCCATGTCGGGAATCGAACCCGGGTCTTCTGCGTGACGAGCGAACGCTTTAACCACTAGGCTGGTTGTGGTAAGAGGCGACTGAATGGATCGAGAGGTCAGACTCGGTGGACAACGGATGGTCAGCTCGCTGATGCATGTCATAGCATCCCCCAATTGTGTAGATCGATGCTCATGTCAATCACTGGATTGTCTGGTCCAGGCTCGATTATTTTCAGATCGACGTGATATAGCTGGAATATTGCTGAGTGCAGCGTTAAACAACAAACAAACAAAACTTAGTTGATTACATTTATCATGATAATAACAATCACTGGATTCGATTATTTACAGAACGAGACGTAACAAAAAAAAGAATGAAATATTATTGATGAATTTGCCCAAATCAGCCCACTGAAATATGTTGATGGTGAATTCTCATCAAACTCATCTGTGTGAGTAAGTATTCTCTGTGAAGATCCGGTTTAGAATTGGTCTTCGGGATCAGGTAGTCTGGCTCGTTGACTTTATTGATGAAGACTGCTGTCATATTGAGACCCGTGAAGATCCGGGGTAGAATAGCTTTTCAGCAACCCATGCTTGCCATAAAAGGCGACTATGCTTGTCGTAAGAGGCGACTAACGGGATCGGATGGTCAGCCTCGCTGACTTGGTTGATGCATATCATCGATCCCAATTGCCTGGATGGATGCTCATGATGTCACTCACTGGTCCAGACTCGATTATTTACAGACCGCCGTCATATACCTGGAATATTGCTGTACTTTCTTTTGCCCAGCAGTTTTTTGTTCCTGAGTTAAACAAGCATGAAATACTCACATCCCCCGCCAATAAGACATGTCCGGTTGTGTGCAATGCATTAGCTCCTGTGAACTATGTTCACTGGACCTTTTTTAAATGGCCTAATTGCAGCACTAAAAAAAGTTGTTACTGATGTTGTTTGCCATCTGTAGTTGTAGTTTATGATAGAATATGTAACTGAATTTGTAATGAGTAAGGATGAGACATATGGACGAACAACTTCTTTATTACAATTAGGAGCGATGGTTTCGGTGTAGGTTCTGACACCGTTATCAAGCAAGTGAAGTACAGAGTATGGTTGACAAGAATATATAGTGTTTATACAGTTGAGTAGGTTTAAGATCAGTTACACTGTTGTATTTGTAATGAGTTGTGTTTCTGCATGAAGTTAGTCAGTGAATGCAACAACTGTGTCATGACACTTTTGGAGGAACATACAGTCAAGCAATACAGAACTTACCAACAAGAAAGGAAATGTTTTCAATTCTGTGAGATGACATTATGCGCCAAGTTTGGTGAAGAAATATGGTACGATTTTCAAGATCTGCTCCGGTAACTAGGACTACCGCCATTTTCGGTCTAATTCAAAGTCGTTGCCATGGAAACTAGAAAAATAACTTTTAAAAAAAATCCATAATTATCAAAGGCACCAGTTCACCACTAGACCTATCAATGTGCCAAATATGGTGAAGAAAAATGGTACAGTTTCCAAGATCTGCTTCGGAAACGAGGACTACCGCTATTTTCAGTCTAATTCAAAGTCGTTGCCATGGAAACTCAAATAAATTAATTAAATCCCAAACTATCAAAAGGCACTAGTTCACCACTAGAGCTATCTTTGTGCCAAGTTTGGTGGAGAAATATAGTACGGGTTTCAAGATCTGCTCCGGAAACGAAATGTGACGGACGGTAGGATGGAAGGACGGACGGACGGCACCCATTCCTATATCCCCCTTCCACTTCGTGGCGGGGGATAATAATGTCATAGATACGTGAAGGTCCGGGTTAGAGTAAGTCTTCAGCAACCAATGCTTGCCTAAAAGAGCCAAGTATGGGTCGTTTTGTTGTAAGATCCTTTTTTCTATTTTCACCGCGCTAGGGTAGTGCTGGCTTCATGTTGTCCTGTAAAGTTATATTCTCTGACGTCAGACGACACAAACTGTGTGCCATTGTCACGCACCAGTTCCTCTGGCACTCCCCATCGTGCGAACATTGCTTTCATCTTTCCGATGACTTGTTTGCTTGACATGTTGCTCAAGTGAGCACTCTCAGTGTATCGTGATTAGTAGTCAGTCACTACAAGATAATTCTAATCTTGCACATGGTTTAGATCAGCTGCAGTCTTCTGCCAGGGAAGATCGGGCAGAGTCGTAATGAGAGACTCCCTGCATTGTGTTGGTTTGCTAGTGATACAGAACTCAGACTGACTTTATCTTTTATGTCTATTTACTGTAGCATTAAATCGTTTCAGCCTCATCAGTAGACACTGGCATCTCAGTGGGACTCTGTCCAGGTCATGGCTGTTCATTAAGGGAACTAGTGGTCTGGGGTCTGTTTGGATTTTGAAATCATTGAGTCCAACTAAGTAGCGCTCAAAATTTTCACAAGCCCAAGTACGAGCCGGGTACTCTTTCACAATCTGGGCGTACTTCAGTTCAGCCCCAGTTAGTGAACGAGACGCAAAGGCGACCGGCTTCAGTTTGTCACCATGCAATTGAAAAAGTGAAGCACCGAGTCAATAGCTGTTGGCATCTGCAGCAACTATTATTGGCAATGAATGATCATAGAAGGCTAGAACGGGTGAACTTGTGATGGCTGTTTTAATCTTGGCAAATCACGCCTCTTGATTTGGGCCCCTCGCCCCCACACAGTCACCTCTCAACAGCTCTGTCAGTGGCTTCATCGTGGAAGCCAGATCTGGTAAGAACTTGCCTAGATAGTTCACCATGCCTATTATCCTTCGAAGTTCCTTGATGTCGGTCGAGGGTTTCAGATTGCATATGGCTGCCACCTTGGCAGGGTCAGGACTCATATCGTCCTTGTTCATTTTGTGTCTGAAATAGGAATTTTCTTCCTGTGACACTTTGCACTATTTTTTGTTCAACATTAGGCCTGACTTTCTGACAGTTTCTAGGACACGTGTGAGATGCTCATCATGGTCCTCCTGATCCTTTCAGTGAATAAGGATATCGTCCATAATTGCTTCTGTACCCTGATGGTTCGACAGCAGTTCTGACATTAGGTCTCTGAAGTATCTCAGGTGCTGGCGAAAGGTACTCTCTTGAAGCAGTAACGCCCTAACGTTGTCATAAAAGTTCTTCTGATCGTCTTTGTGCAATGGAATTTGATAAAATCCAGTTGCGGCATCAAGGGTTGTGAAAATTGTCGAACCAGATAACTTGGGTGCATTATTCTCCAAAGTTGGAACCATGAATCTCTCACGCTCAACAGATCCAACAGATTTTCAGATCTACACATACCCTTATCTGTCCTGAGCTTTCCATACTGGAACCATAGGCGCACACCATTTCATTGGCTCTTTCACTTCTTCTATGTCAGTATCTATCATTTGCTTTAACTCCTGTTCCACTCTTCCCAAAAGCGGAAATGGAATTCAACGTGTTGTGGAAATTGAGTATGGCTGAGCATCTTCTCGCAACTTGATTTTAACTGCATCACAATCCAGCAATCCATGTGTGCCAAATAAGTCACTGGAAATCTATGCTACATACTCTGTCAGTCCCATTTTCTTACAAACATCTCTTCCGAAGTAAGTTCCCATGTCCCCTGATGACAACAACACGGAACCTGCAAATGTCCCCTCTGTATGATGTAGGTGGACAGACCTCGCCAAGGTATTCAATTTTTCCCCAATACCGCACGATTTTGTTGTTGCGTTCTCCAACTTTGGAACAATGTTTAGTTTCTTATAAGTTTCCTCATTGATCACTGTCGTATCAGCACCAGTGTCAATCTTCAGAACCACACAGGTGTCTTGAATCCTTAATTTTACGTACCATGGTTACTCTGAATCATCACAGTCCACAGGTCCAAGGAAGAAATATTTTCCTGACGCAGGACATCTCCTACCAATATGATGACGAGCACAACGTCCACATTGTTTGACATCTGTAGATTGCCTCTGCCAATATCCGTCACTATGGTAACGGATGTAACGGGCCCGTAAAGATCCGGGTTAGAATAGGTCTATAGCAACCCATCCTTGCCGTGAAAGGCGATTATGCTTGTCGTAAAAAAGCGACAAATGGGATCGGGTGGTCAGGCGAGCCTACTTGGTTGATGCATGTCATCGATCCCAATTGTGTGGATCGATGCTCATGATATCAATCACTTGATTGTCTGGTCCACACTCGATTATTTACAGACCGCCGTCATATAGCTGGAATATTGCTAAGTGCGGCGTTAAAACAAACCAACCAACCACTATGGTAACGACTCTTGCCACCAAATCCAGGATTTCCATGGAAACCAGGATAAGTCCTTCCACCTCGTGAACCTTGTGAATGACTGACTCCTTTTGTTGGCTCAGAGCGACTTCTTAGCTCCCCTAAGTCTTTCCAACTGTTGTCCTGGTCCTTAATCTGTGATTTGATCAATTCAAACTGTCGAGCAATTTGTTTTGCATCTTAAGTTTTAGATTAGGTTTCAGCTGCATTTTCTCTGACCCTTCCTTACCGAGAATGACGATAACTATTCTGGCCCTGACTGCTTCCCCTTTCTTGTCACCGAAATATCACTGTTCAGTTACTTCATTTAAGTTCTTAATAAAATACTCCGCACTCTCTCCCTGTTTCTGCAAGCGTTGATAGAATTTGGCACGTTCGTGAAAGATATTCCGCTTTAGAATTAAAACTGCAATAAACTTTTTGACAATATTATTATAAGTCTGGTCCTCATCAGCTCCCGATGTAAAAGAGGTCAGAATTGTGTCTGCTTCCTTTCCCATGGCATACACTAATGATGAGACTTGTACATCCTCTGACTCCTTGTTCAGTTTCGTGAGTGAGGGTGAGTGAGTGAGTGAGTATGGTTTTACGCCGCTTTCAGCAATATTCCAGCAATATCACGGCGGGGGTCACCAGAAATTGGCTTCACACATTGTACCCATGTCGGGAATCGAAGTCGGGTCTTCGGCGTGACGAACGAACGCTTTAACCACAAGGCTACCCGACCGCCCTTTCAGTTTCGTGGCGATACGAAATCGCGATAACGGCTGTCGCCAGTCAGGCCATTCTGCGGGCTTCGTGAAATTATAGTTCTCTGGTGGATGAAATTTGGCCATACCTATCGTTGACAGTCCACTTCTGACACAATGTCATGTAACGTGGCCGTTGTCACAATTGAACGAACTCTATTCTTCGAGTGAGCTACGCGTTTTCACGTTTCGCGGTCGTGCTCACGTGCTCGACCCTGACATCCCATAATTCATTCAAGGCGGCATAACTCCTGAATGGACAACCGCTAAATACATTTGCCAATACACGACAGCAACCGTCAGGAATGATGCGAATGACGCTGACAATAAATCTTTATACATTTACTGGTGTTTTTATTGGATTCTGTGGACTCATTGGAATCGCTAATAATGTATGTTTAGTGCGAAGGATTATATTGTTGGTGTCAGTAATACTCCCTCTGTTGGATCAATATGTTGAAGTCAATAAATACTGGATACGGCCACAAGAGACACCGTGCAAACAAATGAGAATCGAATGCGTATATGAACGAACTGAAAGCAAATGTTCATCTGACGGAATAGACATTTTTTGTTGTAATGGTCACAGAGACCTTTCATTATTCGTTCGTTATGGAACCACGAGGAAGCGAATATTAGAAAAGCACCTGAAGACACGATGGAAATGTGGCGCCTACTTCTAGCTTGTCTGTTCTGTGGTTTACATCGTTTGTGTGGTAAGTATTCCCTATAATCTGACGAATTCATTAATGTAGATCATAGTCAACGAAGTATCTTTGATATCCCTTCCTTATCCAAATGCTGTATTCAGACATCCATTCAAACATCATTTTGTCGTTTTGCATTCTCAAGTTTTAGCTGTTGAGTGAGAGGGATTCAAATTTCCAGCTGTCAAAACCCGTGGAAATTACGGGTAAATGTGTAGGTATGTGTAGGTATGCTTGTTGTAAGAAGCGACTAAATGTATCGGCGGTTCAGACTCGGATATTTGGTTGGTTGCATGTCATCGTATACCAATTACGTGGATCGATGCTCATGATGTCATCCACTGGATTGTCTGGTTCAGATTCAAATATTTACAGACCACCGTCATAAAGCTGAAACTTTGCTAAGTGCGACGTTAAACAACAAACAGTCAATCAGCTGGTAATTATTCCCTAATAACACAATGTCTCAGTTTCACATATATCAATCGACCCGTGAAGATCCGGGGTAGAATTATATGTGTTCAGCAACCCATGCTTGCCGTAAAAAGCGACTATGCTTGTCATAAGAGGTGACTCATGGGATCGGGTGGTCAGGCTCGCTGACTTGGATGATGCATGTCATCGCATCCCAATTGCGTGGATCGATGCTCATGATGTCAATCACTGGATTGCCTGCTCCAGACTCGATTATTTAAAGACCGCCATCATATAGCTGTATTATTGCTTAGTGCGGCGTTAAACAACAGACAAACAAACACTGATGATGACTGCAATGTTTTGGCCTAGCTTTGATACCCTGTCTCCTTCTCGACTTTGCATGGTACTTAAATGCTTACAGTGATGTGAGTACTTTGTTCCAGTCAGAGGCGCTAGCCCGGGGGACATCATACAGGTGAAGAAGCAGATCTTTGATGGATATGACAGATACGTTCGCCCCGTTCACAGCCATGAAGAACCAATTCAAATGGATATGCTGTTTTCTCTTACCAGCATCGATTCCCTGGTAAATAATTATGTTTGCATAATATATGTTCAAAGTACTAGTTACATTATTTGCATGAAATAGAGAAAGATTCACAAGATTCATTTACTGTTACAAGAGCCATCAACGTTAGATAATAACGCAATTAGGATTGATGACATGCATCAACCAAGTCAGCGAGCCTGACCACTCGATCCTCACAATTGGGATATGATGACATGCATCATCCAAGTCAGCGAGTCTGACCACCCGAACCGTTTGCCGCCTCTTACGACAAGCATAGTCGCATGTTACAGCCAGCATGTGTTGCTGAAGACCTATTGTACCCCGAATCTTCACGGCAGAGAAAATATTTGAATAACATTGCTGACAAAACTTTTGTAAAATGGCTGTCTTTTTAGTGAAGGGTAAGGAATTACACACATAGTTCTTACTTTACTCAAATGATCAATGAAGCAATATCTTTGCTACTATTTTTTTTTTTGTTCAACGCTGTTGTTTAACAGTTCATAGATTAATAGCATATCCGTTACCCTCATATTGAGAAATGTGTTTTGCTTATGTCAAGTAACGATGTAGTAATGAGGAAAAAACTGTCAATGTACATATTGGAACCTAAGAACTATTATATATATTTACCCATGACTGTTGGTTGGTTGGTTTGTTGTTTAACGCCGCACTCAGCAATGTTCCAGCTATATGACGGCAGTCTGTAAATAATCGAGTCTGGACCAGACAATCCAGTGATTGATATCTTGAGCATCGATCCACACAATTGGGATCGATGACATGCATCGACCAAGTCAACGAGCCTGACCACCCGATCCCGTTAGTCGCCTTTTACGACAAGCTCAGTCACCTTTTACGGCAAGCATGGGTTGCTGAAGACCTATTCTACCCCGGAATCTTCACGGGTCACCCATTACTGTATAACATATTCAACAGGCCCAATGCTTCTCACTATTTGCAGTAAAACATCAATATTACACCATGTCGGGGATAGCACCTGGTTCTTCGACGTCATGAGTGAATGCTATAATTAAAGCCACAAACCCCTTTTCATTACCATAAGAAGTCTAAAAGCAGTCCATTATATATATAATATTGTTATGCTCAAATATGTTTCATAAATTGTTTCTAAATGTATTATTCTCAAATATGTTCCCAAACTTGTTTTTAAATGAAAAATTGCATTAATAACTAAATTGTAAATATATTAACTTGGTCTCGTAGCTATATGGCTGAAATAATGCCGATGCGACGTTAAATTTTAACTGACTCACTCTATTCTGACTATATCATGAGCATGTGTTCATGAATCACCATCAACTAAGGATGATACCAGGTGTTTGCGAAAAGGTGAGCGTAAACTGCCATATACCCGTTTCAGACAAACTAATATTTGCAGTCACATAACAGACCAATCGCGTGGTATCCAGGTTAACTCGCATAACGTTCATTCAACAAGCATGCACGAATAAGAAAGGGCTGGTTTGATTTTCATATTTCAGGATCTGAAAAGTCAAAAACTGAAATGGAATGGGTGGCTTAGTCTTGTAAGTATACATCTTTTTCAAAAATGATATGAAACAAGATGACCCTAAAACAAGCTTTTGTTTGCTGTTTAATTAACAGCAATAAAACCCTCTGCCAAGAGCAGAATGAACGATTCCGATCACAGCATGAGCTTGTGTCTACTTATCACTATCAAATAGTGATGATACCATGTGCTCGCGAAAAGGTGAGCGTATCCTGCCCTAACGATGGCGCCCCTCACAAACGCATGCAAAGGCAAGTCAATTGTTCGCCTAATAAAACACAGGAACATATGGCGCAAGTTAAAATAGGGAATTGCACCGGACATAAGTTTTGTCACTGATGCGTCAAGTTTGGGAATGTCCTCCACATGTCCACTTTAAAACTTTTTGAAAGCTTTCCTGAGGCCTTGAGTGTTGTAACCTTGATCAAACAACTTCGGAGCATATGACGCTCTTTGAAATATTGGTAGTAAGAGCCTGCTCGAATGTATCTCAAAAATTGTGAAATGTAAACACCAAAGGCTGGAGCAGCAAATGGCTTGCCAAATGGCTTTTAACATTATCTTTTTACTACACTAGATAAACTGTGGTTCAGCCCCCACAATATGTGAAACCTAAGACCTTTGTGAATGTAAAGATGTGACATTAAATGCATGAGTAAAACATATTTGTGACGTTGTTAAAAGTATGATAAACTTTAATAAGATGACAATTTTATTATTTTTTAAACCCACAGACATGGCATGATATGCTGCTCTCCTGGAACGCCAGCCAATACGGAGATCTCGACTTCATTACTGTGCCACAGACGAAGATCTGGCTCCCCGACTACGTCATTGACAATGAGTATGTACAACCAGGGATGCGTACGGACAACTGTCATTATTTCTAGACTGTAGAGGACATCATTTGGATAAGTGGGTGGTATTTACTGAACCAATTTGTAAAGGGAAATCATGCATAAGCTCAACCGGGCACAACGTTCCCATGCTAATTGGTTCACGTTGTGTCAATTTAGGCATTGTAAAAACTTCTTTACCATACTGTTTATTACAATGAAACTAAGTAACTCGGACTTTATAACTCCATGTATCGTTTGAGTCTTTATAAGTTCATGGGCCCAAATGCTATTTATTTAATATTTCAAAAATTGGTTTGATTCGTGGTTTGTGTGGAATTTTAGTTTCTTGGACTTGATAACTTGATCTATCGTCGTTCAGGAGTCGTTGTAAATTCATGGACCCAAATGTTACTTTCCATATTGATAATTTAAACGTTGGTTTAATTTCAAGCTCTACTACTACTCCTGTCGACTTATTTTACAGGATCCCAAGAATAACAATTGTCAAAGCATTTTATAATAGTCAATAGCGGTCAGACCCGTGAAGATCAGGGGTAGAATAGGTTAACACAACAACCCAACAAACCAACCATCAATCAATAGCGTTCAACCTTGGGGGTAGTTTTTTAGGATAAATATATAAATAACAGCGTCAAAACCCTTTCCATATTCATAAGAAACCTCTGCCAATAGCAGGGCCAATTGTAGTATTCCGACCGTACCATGAGAAAGTGTTCATGAATCACTATCAAATACCGGTTACATCAGAAACACATGCAAAAATCAATTGTTCACCTGACAAAACACGGGATCATACGGTACAAGTCAAAACAGGGAATAGCTGCGGACATCATTTTGGTCACTGATGAAACAAATTCTGAAATACCCTCCCCAAAGCTACCATAAAACTTTTTGAAAGATTCACTGAGGCCTTGAGTGTGAACCTTGATCAAGACCCGTGAAGATTCCGGGGTAGAATAGGTCTTCAGCAACCCATGCTTGCTGGAAAAGGTGACTATGCTTGTAGTAAAAGGGTGGTCAGACTCGCTGACTTGGTTGATGCATGTCATCAATCCCAATTGCGTGGATCGATGCTCATGATATTAATTACTGGATTGTCTGGTCCAGACTCGATTATTTACAGACCGCCGTCATATAGCTGGAATACTGCTGAGTGCGTCGTTAAATGAGCATATGTTTTTGGTTGGTTGGTTGGTTGGTTGGTTGGTTTAACGCCGCACTTAGCAATATTCCAGCTATATGACGGCGGTCAGTAAATAATCGAGTCTAGATCAGACAATCCAGTGATTGATATCATGAGCATCGATCCACGCAATTGGGATCGATGACATGCATCAACCAAGTCAGCGAGCCTGACCACCCGAACCCGTTAGTCGCCTTTTACGACAAGCATTGGTTGCTGAAGACCTATTCTACCCCGGAATCTTCACGGGTCGCATGTGTTTTTGAGTCACTATCAAATAGTAATGATACCAGGTGTTTGCGAAAAGGTGAGCGTATCCTGTCCCACCGATGGCACGCCTCACATACACATGCAAAGGCAAGTTAATTGTTCACCTTAAAAAAACATGGGAACATATGGTACAAGTCAACACAGGGAATTGCATCGGACATATATTTTGTCACTGATGCGTCAAATTTGGAAATGTCCTCCACATGTCTACCATAAAACATTTTGAAAGCTTTACTGAGGCCTTGAATGTTGTAACCTCGAGTAACTATGAGCAAAAGTCGTATGCCGCTCTTTGAAATCTTGGTAGAAAGACCATGCTTTATTGTATTCCAAAAGTTGTGAAATGTAAACCCCAAATGCTGGAGCTGCTGGAATATTGCTCGACATGAAGGGAAAGATGACTATTGGAATGTTGAAGTCATCCCTCTTGTCATGTGGAGAATGTTTTGTCACTCTGAATCTTTATGCTTAAATCTAAATATACTCTTCAAAAAAGGAACTTGACATAGATGTAAAACCACTTTTTGCCAAATATCTAAAATAATTACATTAAATGAGAACCAAATAAGTCAAACAGAAAGATGATGTGTCTATAATTCGCGAAAACACATGCAAAGCACATAAACGTAGCGTTTGGGGATCAATTTTATAGCTTCATCCAAACGCAACCGCCTGTAAAAAACGTGTAGCACAGGATCCTGCATTTAGGCATGCAGGCCCCCCTGCTGAATGGGTATAAAAATCCACATCAACGGCTGTTCATACAGTCCTTATAACGGCAGTAGAGGCGGTGACAGAATGCCAAGACTGAATGCAGCTCAACGGAACAACGCCATTGGGAGATTACAAGCTGGAGAAACTCAGCAATAAGTGGCCAGGCACTTTGGCGTATCCAGACAGACATCTCCGCACTGTGGACCGATACAACAACACCAACAGAGTTGACGACAGACCAAGGTCAGGAAAACCAAGGGTGACAACCCAAGCACAAGATCGATACATCCGGCTGCGACACCTCCGAGACCGCACTACCACAGCCACGTCTACAACCACACAGATCCCTGGGGTACGCAGAATATCAGATCAAACGGTACGCAACAGACTGAGGGAGGCTGGACTTTTTGCACGAAGACCTGTTCGACGTCATGTATTGACCCCACGTCATCTGGCGGACCGTCTGCTTTGGTGCCAACAGAGGGTTAGATGGTCACGTGCAAGGTGGAGAAATGTACTGTTTACTGACTCACTTACTGTTTCCTACTCACACGAGCACGTGTCTACAGACGTCGGGGTGATGTTACGCCCCCAACTGTGTGCAGCGGGTTGTCCCATTTGGCGGCGGGAGTGTCATGGTATGGGCCGGAATTCATCACGGTGGTAGGGCGCCTCTCGTGCATTTACAGGTGTTCGTTACAGAGACTTGATCCTACAGCCTTACGTTCTTCCTCACGTCAACGTTCATGGCGGACAGTTCCAGCAGGACAACGCCCGACCGCATATTGCACGTGTTTGTCAGGACTTCTTACAGCACAACAACATCCAGACATTACCTTGGCCAGCCCGGTCACCAGATTTGTCCCTGATTGAGCATCTGAGGGACGAGTTGGATCGACGCGTTCGCAGAAGGAATCCACCGCCCCAAACACTTCCGGCGCTTCTTGATGCACTTCAGCATGAATGGCAGCACATCCAACAGCGTGTTATTGACAACTTGATTGCATCTATGGGTCGTCGGTGTCAAGCGGTGATTGATGCACGTGGTGGGAACAACCGATACTGACATTTTCTGTACCCCTTTGACATTAACTGTATCGTGTACGTGTGTCTGTCTAGGTGACACGATTAATGTTTTGAACATTGTGTACATTGATCTTCAAACAGTGTTTTAATTATGGTTTCTGTGTCATATTTTGAAACAATCGCATTATATTACATTTTGAGAGTCAGTGTCAAGTTTCTTTTTTTTTGAAGAGTATATGAAACAGATGAGGCGGTCTCACTGGTCTCCTTTATTTCATGTTCAGGTTGATACATCAGTGGAAGGGATTGGCTATTTGATTGTTATTGAACGAAATCAGATCATCGGGAGTTGTACGAAATAAGGCCAGTTCTATTTTCATGCAATAAGTTGTAAACAAGTTTGGTGACTCCAATTCACGTCGGTAAATTTAGCTTTTCGGCACCCTAAGTGTGACCACTCAATAATGGACCTATGAACAGTAGGTACGTAGAATAACCATGTAACAAATTACACACAAAGAAAAAAAGTTAAGCACACCCCTATTTCCGAACCATTGTAATTGGACTTCTCCCCAGTGTTTTGACGTCATAGCGGAAATCATATTTTCGCCTTATAATATTATGTTTAAAATAACATTTTGAATTTTTGGATTCGATAACAATTTATTATTATCTACAACGGGATAGAGAACTTCCAGATTTTACCCCCTGGGGGTAGATTCTGGGAAGTCCCCAAAATATACCCCGGGGTAGATTCTGGGAGCTCCCAGAATCTACTCAGGTATACTCTGGGGGTAGATTTTAGCAGCTTACACCGGCAACCAGGATTCCAGCAGAATCACAAGCTTTTAATCAGAGATATCGCGAGTTGCTTGGACCTATACACTTACCCGTAATTTCCACGGGTTTTAACTCACTCACTCACTCACCGCATAATAAAATGTTTGTTTTTTAAAACACTTTTAATATCTTTATTCACCAGCGTTTCTGCGAAAAGAGTCTTAGGAAACTCGGACACTCTCGTATTCATTAGGAGCAGCGGTTTGGTCACTTGGGAACCAGGGATGGTTAGTGAAACAAGCTGCAAAATTGACATAAGAAAGTACCCCTTTGACACCCAGACATGTTCCTTTGACTTTCTTCCCTGGATGACAACAAGCAGGTTTTTGAACACTACAGTTTCATCCAACAAGATCCAAATGTCAGCTTTTGTGCCACATGGAGAGTTCACAATAGCAGGGTCATCCGTTATGTTTGCTCGCTATCCGACAACATTTTCAGACGATGATTTGGTGGGGATAAGCTTCTCTATTGTGCTCAGCAGACGTCCGGCATTCTATTGGATGATCATGATATTTCCAATGGTGACATTTCCTCTGCTCTGTCCAATCAGCTTCTTAGTACCTGTAGAGAGTGGAGAGAAGATAACTCTGTCAATCACTGTGGTGTTGTCCTACTTGGTATTCATTGGGTCAATGAACGACGCGATGCCAAAGTTGTCCGATACAGTCTCTTTGATGGGTATGTACAAACATATGCAACAAATTTAAGATTCGTTTTAATTGGCTGGGTTTATAGGTTAACCTCGGATAATGTGAAAATAATTTCACTCGGGAAACAAACTCCTGTAATATCCTATGGAAAATGTATATTCAGTATTTTACAACCTCTTAAAATGTCTCGTATTGATTAAGGAGAACTTGGCACGTGATGTTTGTTTTCCCTGCAGAAAAATCACTGGGGAATGAAATGATACCATCCGGATGTAACTATTACAATGCCAATAATTATATACTAAAGATGATCATACATTTGCATTAATTGACACTCATATGAGTGACGTTAACAGAAAGAACAGAACAGAACTTTATTTACGCTCAGGCCGGGATCCTCGACATATGAGGTACAAATTTGCAAACAGTAAATACATAAGATGGCGGGATGGTTTACATGGAAGATTTAACAGTTTTCATAATGACATTACAGAATGTACAGAGTTTCTTAATAACATTTTTTTTTTTACAATTAAAAAGTTCTTTGAATTTAAACATATTTGGGGTTTTAGCATATGAAATTGGAACATATATAAAAAGGACAAACAAAAATATAATGAAATTCATCACCAACATCGCTCATGTCGCAGAGTTTACACGTTCGTTCATTGACAGGGATGTTGTGCCACCTACCTAGTTCAATAGGTAAATAGTTGCATGACGTTCTAAACAGAAGGAATTTTACAGCCAACGAGAAAGGGATAACTAATAAAAGTTTTTAAGGACGAGTTTCTGTTTTAAATATGCGATATGTGATACCTTTAGAAGAATGTGTAATCTCTGCATTCCATGTATGAGTTGCTATATCAGATAATCTTAACGACATGATAGATTTAAGGACATTAGGAGGAATTGCTTGTTGGCTTAACCAATAAAAACTGAAGCCCGTTTCATTGAAAATACTTTCCAAACATTTTATCCATTTTTTACAGCTATTGTTTGTAAAGACTTCATTGTATAACATTTGATATAGAATTCTTGATAACTTTTGTTCTTTGCCAGATAAGACTTTAGCCCAAAAACATACCATTCGGCATTTGATAGAATTACTTAAAGGTACTCTTCCAAGTTCTCCATACAACATGTATAAAGATGTACTTTTCTTAATGGGAAGTAATTTACGTAGAAAGTTAAGGTGAATAGATTCAATTTGTTTACAATTTTCAAAACCCCAGATTTCACAACCATATGATAGAATTGGTTTTACCATAGCATCGAAGAGATATAATTGACATTTTATGGATAGATTAAATGTTTTACTTTTGCGTAATACAAAGTACATGGCCTTAGTGGCAGATTCACAATTTGCTTTTATAGAAGTTTTGAAAGAGTTTTTATTTGTAAAGTGAATTCCAAGATATTTATAATCAGTGACATATTCGATTGGTGAGCAATTTAATAATACATGTTTACTCTTGTCTCTTTTTGTACCACCAAAAACTATAATTTTTGTTTTACTAGTATTGATATGCAATCTCCATTTTCTTCCATAAAGTGAAGAAATATCAAACATATTTTGTAAACTTTGATGATAAAAAGCTAACAAAACTGTATCATCTGCATATAGTAATGCGAACAAAACAACAGAGAGATCTAACAGACCATTAAGTGACTGAGATTGAATAGAAACACTAGGGCAGTTTTGAGAATATAAAAACGGTTTCAGATCATTTAGTAACAATGAAAACAATATTGGGGACAGATTTTCTCCTTGATGGACCCCAATAAGACAAGGGAATTGTTCTGAATATACACCGTTTGAACACACACATGATTTAATGCCATCGTTCATATTAACAATAATACAAATGAGTTTTCCATCTATACCTTGTGCTTATAATCTTTTCCATAAACCTATACGCCAAACTTTGTCAAAAACCTTTTGGAAATCAACGAAACCACTATACAATTTTTTATATATTTTTTCAGTAATATATGCCTCCTTACAAACAACTATCAGCATCCTCACAGTCGTCGCCAATGGACTCATCATATGTGTTCACAAACTGCCCTCTGACTTTCAAGTTACATTTCCCAAGTTTCCCAAGATGTCCCAAAGGCTTGTGGCCATAGGGGAACAGAAGAAGTACCTACCCAAAGGAGAGTCCCTTCAAAGTGTTACGGGTAGCTCAGTGGGGTTGTGTCCAGATGATCACAACACAAATGGAATGTCAGCGTGTGAAGAAGAAAAGAATGCTGTGTCCGGAAGTGACAAATGGATCCAAATTGCTCGTAGACTTGATAAGATTTGTTTCTCATGCTTCTTGTGTCTTACTATATTGGTGTCAGTTATATTCGGGTTTCTGATTTCCCAATGAGTGGATGTGAGAGTAAATGTTGGTTGACGATGAGTCTTGCGCTTGCAAACAGGTGAGTGATATTGCAATCGAAGTACCAAGCTGTAGGGTTAAGATTATTTACAGACCACCGTCACATAGCTTGACTATTGGCGCTGAGCAACAAACAAAATTATAATAACCTAACATCTTAAATATGTTGATGGCGATTTTCATAAGTAAGTGCTGACTTTGGGGTATAAAATAATGGAACAGGGGTATTACCTTTCGTCAATAGATTTCAAAGTATTATCCCGTCTTGTAACAAAACAAAAAAGTTCCTGTCGAACCATTTTTGTCGATTATCTTTTTGTTTCTGTATCTGCAGTATATTGCTCAATACACACTAGTCGTGTAGCAATACCAGTACACTTTGAAAGTTTTATGTCTTATATAAATAATCATGTAAACTATTTTGTTGCCCATAACCCTACTCTCGTATTGTGTTGGTTATACTACGATAACACCGACCATTTCATTTGTTGGTAAATATCCCCGGGGTGGGATTATTCTTTTGCTGTAAAATACTCAGCTGAACGTTTTTTTCGATTCTCGTTTCTGAAGTACACTTCAGGGCAACACTAATGCAATGTTTAGAACCATAAATAATAGCGACCAAACTATTTCCATATTCATAAAAAATCGACTCTGAAAACAGAGTTCATTGTCCGAGTCCCACTTCATCATAAGCATATGTTAATGAATCACCATCAAATAAAGATGACACAGGGCTTTTCGCGAAACGATCAGCTTATCCTGCCTCACGTGTTTATATTATCAAAGGGTGGCTATAAATGTCGTCGATATATTGATGGCGAAAACAATTAGCTATTTGAATAAATACACGCGGTAGCTCCTCGACCTTTCGCATTGACTTGGTTAGGAAACATGTAAATATCAATATTGATTAATAATAAGGGATTATGGAGACATCTTGAAACAAGCTTATTGAAATGGGAGAAAAACACACTTTGTTCAATCAACTTTATCAGAAAATGTTAACGTATATCCTTAACAGCTGAGCTTACAGTACATACACAAGTAAACTCAGGGAGAAAAAAAAGTATACCAAGTTTGTTTTTTATGTTATTGAAAACTGAAAGCACTGGTGATAATTTGATAATGTCTATGTAATCATCACTCATTCCTGCAACAATTTGTAAAAAGTAATCTGTTGATAGGTATTTTTGTGTAAAAAATAATTGGTTCAATGAAGACTGGAATAAAAGACAAATATGCAACCACATGACCACTAGCATATTTGAATTGTTATAATATTGTGCGGGGAAAAAGCAAATTTATTGATTTCAAATATGTCTACGATACCCATCAGCGGTTGTGTATGTATTATGCGAGTGTGTTCTCTTTAATCTTTCAAGTTTTAAATCAAATTATTACCGTAGTCGACGTAATCAGCGCCCACGGCGATATTTGCTAATATATTGGCAAGTGAACAATCCCAATTAGCACCTCTTCCGATTGATCAATGTACACAAGACTTAATTATTCGTGTATAATACGCACTCGTGTGTTATATGCACCCTTAATTATGGGCAGTTAAATTCTGGAAAAACATATCTGTCGTATATAAACAGTCGAGACCGTCAGCATAAACCACGAAATTTATCTTTCAACTCTGTTTTTTTCCACCAAAATAATATTCTGATAAGAGCCCCCTATTTCTAATTTTGAGAGCGCCCTGGGAGCTTATTACGTCGAATACGGTATTTCAAAAATGAAACCATGTAGAAGTATTCTTTGAGTGCTGACAAAGCCCCAATACAGTTACTTTGGGGAAGTATCGCTAACTTAAGATATTTTGAAATGAAAATCAGACATATGATAAAATCAACTGATGGGTATAGTTGCTTTTGCTCCTCAGTTTAGATCAAAGGCTGTCATATTACATGTCATATAATGGCTGTCTTGTCATAGTTGTTCTGCAGATATTATTTTATGTTGATTTTTCTTATGAAATACATTTTTAATATTAACATTACTTGCAACACCATTAAAGGATAATGAAAAGGTTTCTGAATATAGGAACTAATGTAGTAGTCTTTAGTTGTGACTGATTTTGTTCATCAAATATACATCATTATGTTGAAAATCAACAAAAATGGAGTCACGTTTACCTTATATTTTTAACAGTTATATGCTTAAGTCTTTTCATTGATTCTGCAAGTATAAGCCTTGGGAGGTGGCCTAGCTTTGGTAACCGGTGGCCTATAGCCTGTGTTCTGTATATATATAATATTGTTATGCTCAAATATGTTTCATAAATTGTTTTTAAATATAACTTTGCATACATAACTCAATTGTGATTACATCAACTTTGTCTCGTCGCTATATGGCTGAAATAATGCCGATGCGACGTTAAATTTTAACTCACTCATTCAAGTATTTCTTCGTTCATAAGATAGAAGATCCGGGATAGAATTATAGGTCTTCAGCAACCCATGCTTGTCTTAAGCGGCGACTAACGGGATCGGATGGTCAGGCTCGCTGACTTTGTTGATGCATGTCATCGATCCCAATTGCGTGGATCGATGCTCATAATATTAATCACTGGATTGTCTGGTCCAGACTCGATTATTTACAGACCGCCGTCATACAGCTGGAATAATGCTGAGGGAGGCGGCAAACCAACCAACCATAAGATAGAAATGTTCCATGTTTCCAACGTGTGTTCTATGTAGTGTATGTATTGTGTAGTAATGTTCTAATTTGATGAGTAACGTCTGATAATATGTTAGAAACGTAAATAAATTTAATTAAATTTAGAATTCCTTTGTTGGTTCGTTCACTCCACTATAAATGTTGGGATATCAATAGACATCAATGGACACTGAAACATCGTACGAAGCAGAGGGCTAATGTCTACAAATGTGGAACTTGGTCCCTCTGGAACAAAACTACTGGCCATATGTTTGGTCTAACTTAATGATCCTTTTACGCCTGTTGGAACTGGTTGGATGATTGGTAGGGAATGATTATGGTATTGTTTCTTGATCGCAAATCCATACCAACCGAAGGCGATCAGTTTGAAACATCCAAATCGACAGATTAAGTCAAAACACACATGCGTGATGGGGACGATTGACACAGGTCCTCGTTTCATCTACCACCCTTTATCTGTTTATGGATTACTTAGCATACCATACATCTGGGCTTGTCCTAAATACACATACGTACTCTGACAACAAAGGTATCAGGACAAAAAACATTGTATTGTCTATTGATTTTTCCATCACAACGGATATATATTTCCACGTTTCATCCATAAAGGTTCTTTTTACTGTATGTTCTCGTTTAATTCTTGGATTTGTAAAAGAAATTGGGTAAAAGGTAAATTTTGATCATATGTAATGTAAAAAGTGTGTGATTTTAATTTGGTAGAATGATTATATAACTGTGATTGTTAGTGGATGTACCTTCAAAGGGGGTTGAAGTAACGTAAAATAATTGTCCCTGTGAGAGGTTCAAAAGTCCCATTTCATTTAAAGTATTTTTCACTTTCCATGGTTTTAATTGCGGAATACTGGTTGCTTTTAAATGTTTTGGCTTAAACTTTCTAACAATAACCAGTTGCCAGAGGGATGGTGTAAATCCTGCTGGGGTACCACGCAGGAAGCTGATGTACTGTAAGTCCCCGTGGTCCCTTGTATGGTGGCTTAACTTTGGTTGCTGGTGATCTCTAGCCAATTTTTATAATGAATTGTTCTGGATAGTCAAAATTGTATGGTTACTTACCAGTTTAAAATCTATAACTCTGATACCCTTACTGTCCTTTGATTTTTACTGTCCCTTGTCGACAGATTTTAATGTCTATATTTATGTATTATTACTGTACAACTTGATTTAGTCACGATATGGCTGAAATATTGCCGGTGTGATTATCAATTTTAACTCACTCACTCACTCACTCACTCACTCACTCTTATGGAAGGCGCATTTGTATAACTTCAATACACATAAGGAATGTTATAGATCTTGGTTAGTTCAAAATGCACTTACATATCATTTCTAAGTACTCATTAAACAAAATAGGAACTACGAAAAAAGAATATTATCGATCTCGGCTATTTCAAAATGCATATACATCTAATGCAATATTATTTCTGGAATGAAATATTTTCTCACTGCCATAAACAAACCTACACTGGAAAACAAACTCCCAAGAATCAACACCCAGTGTCAGCAGCCTACAGTAAACTACGTTTATAACGAACACGCTTATAACGAACTGACGGATATAACGAACTTATTTTTTAGTCCCGGCCATTTGATGTATATATGCTGTATATATGCTTATAACGAACTACGGTTATTACGAACTAAAATTAGTGGTCCCTTCGAGTTCGTTATAACCGTAGTTTACTGTACTTAGTTTTAGAAATAGATTCTTAAAATGGACTATCGAGTCATATCTTTTATTCCTCTCTGTCAGCAGATTACCAAAACGTTACAAGAAACTTCCATCATCAGCAACAACATATTAAACAAGGTCGTTTTTCAACCATTGGTCACAAAAGTGAGTGGGTAAGATGCCTGATTCCTGCTGTATCACAGATCACACTCATTCAGGGAATTGAGCAAGAATTGATTGGTTGTCTTCTTTTGATATTACTCAAATATCGTTGTAACTGTGGTTAAAAGGGAACTTTGTGTTATTAACTGCACATTTCATGTATTCTTGATAACTGATATTTTATTAGTCGACCTCAAAACAAAACAAAAAACGCTGGGTAAAGTATAACCCTTCAGATATGTACCAGAGTATCCACTGAACCGTATCCTATCGCACTTATTCATATCGGTGAACACCTGGTGTCATCACTAATTCTCAGTGATCTATTCATATATTTTTCATCACAGTGGAATCTATTTCGCCCGATAATCGTGACTGTGTTTTCTCTGGCGTTGACGCTTTGTATTTAACGTTTTGAAAAAAACATTATCTGGTGAGGTTTCATTCCGGGTTAGAATAGGTCTTCAGCAACCAATGCTTGCCGTAAAAGGCGACTATGTTTGTCTAAAGAGGCGACTAACGGGATCGGGTGGTCAGACTTGCTGACTTGGTTGATGCATGTCATCGAACCCAATTGCATGAAGCGATGCGCATGATGTCAATCACTGGATTGTCTGGTCCAGACTCGATTATTTACAGACCGCCGTCATATAGCTGGAATATTGTTGAGTGCGGCGTTAAACAACAAACCAACCAACCATTCCCACAGCTCACTCCCATCGATCAGTTCTAATGGCTTAAAAGTACAATACTAACTGGGTTGTTCTTCATTTGTCAATTCGAGTCTGTATGTACTCATCATTAGGTCTAATAATACTGTTTTCAACGTTCATGGATTACCATCTAAGCGATTACCAGTGGATCAAACAGTGGTCAAATACGTGTACAAAACATGGCAATGTTCAAATAAAATACGTATGTCTTTGTTCTGTTAATCGATATTGTCCGCAGACACGGGTAAATATATTAATTGATTGGTGCGCACACTGGGTGCATGAAGTTGAGACTAGACGCTGTGTCACTCGGCTACTTTGTCGAAGGAATTGGAACCCGGCACTAGGGAATATGGCACAAACTATTTTTGCATGTGTCCTTCTACTCATACACCTTTTTAATGGTAAGTTCTTGTATTCTGATGACGTTTACTTCTCTAATCAATGTTCACAGGTATAACGTATAAAATACCCGTCGTATTGATCAAAATGCTAGGATGGCAGAAACTATTGATGTTTCAATACTGATACAATTGTCACAAACATCATTTGGTATTGAGTTATATATACTTAATCGTTGCGTGATACTGTGTGAGCCGTATGTGTTGTCTGTTGTCTTCATTGAATGTCTTTGGTTGTTGTCTTTGATCGTTGTAACACCACACTAGCTAGAATTTCAGCCATATCCATGTTCTCTCTGAAATATTCATAAACGCAAATCGAATCTTGAAGCTACGATTCATCCATATGTAATTATGATGTGTGTGTGTCATCCCCTCTTTCGGGGGGCGGTCGGGTAGCCTAGTGGTTAAAGCGTTCGCTCGTCACGCTGAAGACCCGGGTTTGATTCCGGACATGGGTAAAATGTGTGAAGCCCATTTTCTGGTGCCCCCCGCTGTGATATTGCTGGAATATTGCTAAAAGCGGCGTAAAACCATACTCACTCACTCACTCACTCTATACCTACAGAAAAGAGTTGCGATCCGGAACTACTTTCTCAAAAGGGATTCCGTTGTCCACCGTCCGTGCTTCAAATTGCAACATTCGAAACAATGTATAGAAATAGTATCGGGACCTCCCATGTATCGGGCTGCCAAAAAGAACGATGGTCCTGTTATAAGCTACCAATGAATCAGTTAAATAAACTGTTCAAAGGAGAATATGTTCTTGCGGTAAAGCTTATAGCACCATACACAACATGTTTTCCTTGCAGTCATCATATCAGTCGAACGGCCTTCTGTTTCGTATCTGGGTCCAACTTTGATCAGCTGGGTGCTGGTGACAGCCGGTCTGCCACTCTAGGCCAGTCTCTCCTCCCCCCAACTCTGCCTGAAACAGGCCTTCGCCTTGTGACTGTCTTTCGCATACAGCCCAAACTCCTTGCGTTAATCATGCGATGCTCCTTGGTGTATCATACCAACAGCCTGTTCTCTCTGTTGTAGCGTTAATCGGGGCGGTCGGGTAGCCGAGTTGTTAAAGCGTTGGCTCGTCACGCCGAAGACCCGGGTTCGATTCCCGACATGAGTACAATGTGTTGAGCCGATTTAACCAAAGTTTCACTTCAAACCCATTTCCGCTGATCTGGGTACTGGGGTACTTTTTGTGTTTGGGAAATTGGTTCTCAACAATGTTGTGACACAATTCGGGGTTTGGACCCAACATGTCTTCTTCGACAGTTAACAACAAAAGTTATGCGACCCGTGAAGATCCGTAGTAGAAAAGGTCTCCAGCAACCCATGCTTGCCGTATAAGGCGACTCTGCTTGTCGTAAAAGGCGACTAACGGGATCGGATGGTCAGGCTCGCTGACTTGGTTGATGCATGTCATCGATCCCAATTGCGTGGATCGATGCGCGTGATATTAATCACTGGATTGTCTGGTTCAGACTCGATTATTTACAGACCGCCGTCATATAGCTGGAATATTGGTGAGTGCGGCGTTAAACAACAAACCAACCAACCTTTGCTTATTCATGAAAGCATTTACTACTTCCTTTGTTGTACATTGCCACAGCAAATGACCCGCAGTTGAATTGCAATGGTGTTTGATGTGTTGTTGAACACATTTTTTAAGAAGAATCCCATCTGTTTATTGAATAAACACACAAATATATAGACATGAAGGCTATATACTCGTTGAACCCTTCTGTTCAACAGGTGGAGCCGTTACCCCAAATGACGTCAAAGAATTAAAGAAAAGAATCTTCGAGGGATACGATGTTAACATTCGGCCTGTTCCCAACCAAACAGAGTCAATACACGTGGATATGAGATTCATCCTTGCCAGCATCGACAACCTGGTATGTATGCATACTTAACAATGAAATTTATTATGTATCTCGATAACATTCCTTGTATCTCGTATAAATATGTACACACAAATAATTTATTTGGATCATTTGTATAACTTATCATCATCATCGTCATCATCGTCATTATTGTCATTATTATTATTATTATCATTATTATTATTATGATGATGATGATTATTATTAGTATTATTAGACCAGTGTGGAGTCTGGGGTAGAATAGGTCTTCAGCAACCCATGCTTGCCGTAAAATGCGACTGTGCTTGTCGTAAAAGGCGACTAACGGGATCGGGTGGTCAGGCTCGCTGACTTGGTTGGTACATGTCATCGATCCAAATTGGGTGGATCGATGCTCATGATATCAATCACTGGATTGTCTGATCCAGACTCGATTATTTACAGACCGCCGTCATATAGCTGGAACATTGCTGAGTGCGACGGCAAACCAACCAACCAACCATAAGATAGAAATGTTGCATGTTTCCAACGTGTGTTTTATGTAGTATATGTATTGTGTAGTAATGTTCTAATTTGATGTGTAACGTCTGATTATATGTTAGAAACGTTGGTTGAGGCATGTCATTGATGTCATTGATCCCATTATTATCATTATTATTATTCATTCATCTTTTTCTTATGAAATTATCCTCTTACCATATTTATTCCCTATCATTTGACTTACATGCGCAGTTCAGATTAAAGATATATGGTATACCTATACCTAATTTTACAATATGTAATTGAATGTTCAAATTCAGGATCTGAAGATTCAGAAACTAAAATGGAACGGCTTTCTGAGCTTGGTAAGTTAAATGCTTGTAAAATACCATCAGTTTTCTTACATGCCTCCTATTAACAACATACAAATATTGATTCGGTTACACTTCTACTTTGAATAGAGGGGGCGGTGGGGTAGCCTCGTGGTTAAAGCGTTCGCTCGTCACACTAAAGACCCGGGTTCGATTCCCCACGTGGGTACAATGTGTGAAGCCCATTTTTGGTGTCCCCCCACCCCACCCCCCACCCCCACCCATGGTCTTAAACGATTTCTCAAACTATGAATTGTCATGGTCTTAAACGATTTATCGAACTATGAAATTATCATGGTTTAAAAGATTAATTGGACTATGAAATTGTCATGGTCTTAAACGATTTATCGAACTATGAAATTGTCATGTTTTTTAACGATTTCTCGAAGTATCAAATTGTCATGGTTTTAACGATTTATCGAAGTATCAAATTGTCATTGTTTTAACTATTTATCAAATTATCAAGTTGTCAGGGTTTTAACGATTTATCGGAACCATCAAATTGTCATGGATTTAACGAGCTCCAGCAAATCTTCATGTTTTTAGCGATTTATCAAACTATCAACTTCTCATGGTGTTAATCGAACTATCAGGTTGCCATGGTTTTTCAACGATTTTTCGAACTATTAAATTGTCACTGATTTAACGAGCTGTAGAACCAGCAAACTTTCATGGTTTTAACGATTTATCGAACTAACAAATTGTCATGGTTTTAACTATTTATCGATATATCAAATTGTCATGGTTTTAACTATTTATCGATATATCAAATTGTCATGGTTTGAGCGATTAAGCGACCTATTAATTTGTTATGGTTTTAGCGATTTATCGAACCATCAAATTGTCATGGATTTAACGATTTCTCGAAGTATAAAATTGACATGATTTTAACTATTTATCGATATATCAAATTGTCATGGTCTTAGCGATTAAGCCACCTATTAATTTGTCATGGATTTAACGATTTCTCGAAGTATAAAATTGACATGGTTTTAACGATTTGTCGAAGTATCAAATTGTCATGGTTTTAACTATTTATCAAACTATCAAGTTGTAATGGTTTTAACGATTTATCAGAACCATCAAATTGTCATGGATTTAACGAGCTCTAGAACCAGCAAATCTTCAAGTTTTTAGCGATTTAGCGACCTATTAATTTGTTATGGTTTTAGCGATTTATGGAACCATCAAATTGTCTTGGATTTAACGATTTCTCGAAGTATCAAATTGTCATGGTTTTAATTATTTATCGATATATAAACTTGTCATGGTTTTAGCGATTTAGCGACCTATTAATTTGTTATGGTTTTAGCGATTTATCGAACCATCAAATATTCGTTGATAGAACATATTATCATTTTATCAATTTGGCCGATGACAATATAATGAAGTGGTAATACTGACACTTAACATTGTGTGGTGCAATGACATAAAAATATATACTCAACGACCCTAGTTAGTTACGTAAAATTCATTTAAAATAATAGCATGTCCCTGTACAGTCAGGTCTTTTTATCGAAACTCTCAAACATCTCTTCTGTTGCCTGAGTTACGATAGATTCACCGACATGTTTGTGTGCACACCCCTGTTGTGTAAAGACACCCAACACAATAATGCAGTTGGGGTAACAGTTAAGGGAATATGTTCAATGCATCGTTTACTCATATTTCATTTCATACAGCGTTGGACCGACATAACGCTATCATGGAACACCAGTGAGTATGGAGGCCTGGACTTCATAACGGTGCCGCAGTCGAACATATGGCGTCCCGACTACATCATCAACAATGAGTATGTACACTTGGGGTGACTATTGGTCTAGAAATCACTATTGCGATAACTATTGATATTGAAAGAAACTATTGCGATAACTATTGATACTGCAATCAACTATTGCGATAAACATCGATAGTCTTCGGTGTATCATTTTAGATGGATTCTAGATGGATTTTAGAGTTGAATTAAACCTTGGAACTGAAGTTTCCTTTGAATGTGATAACCATTACAACAAATAAAAAGTAAATTTTGAGATATGATTGATTTGGGTTTTTTCTTTACCCTAATAATTTAAGAAAAAGAAACTTTCACATTACCATGTGTAAATTACTACCACTCATGATCAACAAATTGTAACATAATTGCATGTATTTTATTGATCTGGTAACTACAATCGAAACTATCGATATTCCCAACTGAAATCGATACTATTTGATCGAAAACTGATTTAACAATCGATATATTGACATTAAGTGCTTACCAATAGCAATCTATCGATATTTCAATTTATCGTGACACCCCTAATGTACACATAATAGTATTGTCTGCAGTGGGCGAACGCAGTCAGTAATATTCCAGTCGTATATCATCGTTGACCTGTAAGTAATCTAGTCTGAACGAAACAAACAAGTAAGAAAACGTACAACTTTATGGATAACAACAAAGCTGGAGTGACAACAACCAAGTGATGACAGGTACATATGCATGACATGTTATAACAAGAAGTAGATTAACATTGACATCTCATGCATATATACCTCTCTTCATTTGGCTGTAGACACTCCAGCTAGATAACGGTGTAAGAAAGGTTACCATTGGAAATACCATGACCATCCAATAGAAACGCCGGGCCTCTTTTGAGGAAAAGATTGTACCTTACCGTCATCAATACATCGTCCGTAAAGATTACATTGATAAGATCGAAACGGACTGAGGACTACATCTACATCGAAATGTCGCTATGTGCAATAAACCATAAAGGTGTACGTTTTCTTACTTACCAACTGATCCGTGCAGATCCAGGGTAGAATAGGTCTTCAGCAACCCATGCTTGTCGTAAAAGGCGACTATGCTTGTCGTAAACGGCAAGGATCGGGTGGTCGGGCTCGCCGACTTGGTTGATGCATGTCATCGATCCCAATTGTATTGATCGATGCTCATGATGTCAATCACTGGACTGTCAGTTCTAGACTCGCTTATTTACAGACCGCCGTCATATAGCTGGAATATTGCTGAGTGCGGCGTTAAACAACCAACCAACCAACCAACTTCTAGAAATGCCAATTAAACAGTTAGAGGCAAACCAGTGATTGAGCAACGTCACATGCCGTCGTGGAGGAAGTCACAAGCCTGACCACCACGGCTCTTGCGAAAATCATACGATAATCAAATATACCTTGGAATGTCCACGTCTGAATATCATTTTGAATAGGGTGCGAAAGTGAAAAAAATGTTAAGGCACAAAACAGTATTCAGCCATTTCGTGACTATAGCTCGAAGAATGTCGACAGTATTGTGAGTACAATATTACAGATCGCCAGCATCCAAAGTTAGACCACCATGCTTGGTGTCATTGGGACTTGCAGTTCCTCTGCTACCTCATTTTGATCTGTTGCTTAATTTAATGCTAAACTTATGTTTCTTTTCATTTTTCAAAGTGTTTCTCAAAAAAAAGCCCTGGGAACCTCGGACACTCTGGTCTTCATTAAAAGCAGTGGATTAGTCACTTGGGAACCAGGGATGGTTAGTGAAACAAGCTGCAAAATTGACATCAGAAAGTACCCCTTTGACACCCAGACCTGTTCCTTTGACTTTCTTCCCTGGATGACAACAAGCAGGTTCTTGAACACTACCAGTCTCAATAAAATCGACATGGCATCTTTTGTGCCTCATGGGGAGTTCACCACAGGAGGGTCCTCAGTCCATTTCGAGCGCATCAATTTAGTATTTACGGACGATGTATTGGTGACAGTTAGGTACGATCTGGTCCTCCACAGACGTCCGGCGTTCTATTGGATGGTCATGGTATTTCCAATGTCAACCTTTCCAATGCTGAGTCCTATCAGCTTCCTCGTGCCTGTTGCCAGTGGGGAGAAGATAACTCTGTCAATCACCGTGGTGTTGTCCTACTTTGTATTCATTGGGTCAATGAACGACGCGATGCCAAAGTTGTCCGATACAGTTTCCTTGATAGGTACGTCCATACTAATTTTCTTTTCTTTTGAAGGACTAGACTTTCAAGGAATTTCAAGGTATATATATACATACTGAACACCCAAAGTAACATTGCATGAAAAGTTGTCATTTAATATCTGGGTATTTTTTGTCAAAGTTTCTAAAATTTAACATTACCTTGTCCGGAAAAAATGAAATTTGATGATAAAAAAAACCCAAAACAGATGACAATAAAACTGATCGCCCAAACGCATCACGGCAACGGCCATGGTAACCCAATGCACGTGAGTTCAGTGCAAATTGAAATGCACATGCGTTCCCCCATTTCTTGCCCTATAAAAACCAACCCAGATCGGATAACATTCATTCGTTATTGAATGGCCACCACATGCCAAGACTGACAAGAAATCAGCGACACCAAGCCATTGGACGATTGCAAGGTGGACAAACCGCCCGGCAAGTAGCCAATGCATTTCAAGTCCACGTAAGGACCATATACAGGCTCCAGCAACGGTGCCAGACCACCAACACTACAGAAGACCGACCACGTAGTGGAAGTCCAATGGTCACCACCTGACGTCAGGGTCGTCAGATTGTGCGACAGCATCTTCAAGATCGCTATGTTACTGCTGCGGAAATTGCTCGACAGACCATGGGGACACACTAGCCACACATTGGTACAGACACCGTGCGTCGACGATTTACGAGAAGAAACCTCCACTGTCTCCACTCCACCTCCAGGCCTCACCGAGGACCCATTCTGACCGTCTTCAGTGGGCAACACAGAACCAACATTGGCGCCACCGGCAGCGGAGAAGAGTCTCGGCAGATGGCAGAGAAATAGTCTGGCGATGCCGTGGCGAACGATTTTCGGATGCTAGTGTTGTTGAGAGAGACTCGTGGGGTGGTCCGAGCATCATGGTGTGGGTGGAATTGGTCTTGCACAGAGGGTCGGCCCTGTGGTCCTCCAGAACATCGGTCCAGGGAGAGGCAATGGTGTCACAGCAGCTCGGTACATTGATCAAGTCTTGAGACCACACGTCATTCCTCATTTTGGCACGTCGCCGCAACCAAGAGTTTCAGCATGATAAGGCCCGTGCCCACACTGCGGAAGCAACAAGAGACTTCCTCCAGCAGGATGGCATCAGAACTGTGCAGTGGCCAGCCCTCAGTCCCGATTTTAATCCCATTGAGCACCTGTGGGACGAGATTCAAAGGCGGCTGAATGACGTCCGACCAAGGCCGACAACTGCAGGTGAACTGCGTCAGGCGTTCCTCAGAGTGTGGGCTCAAGTGCCTATGGCCTTCATCAACCGCCTCATCCATTCCATGTATCGACGTTGCACGGCAGTCATCAATGCACATGGCGGACACACGAGATACTGACTTGTGATGCCATTTTCTCAGAGACTAGTGTTGTGTTTCACTTTAACAACATTTAACACTTTAACTTCAACCTTGATGATCAGTTTTGCCAAGTTTCATCTTTTGAATATGTCTCAACGTATGTTTACGGTGTTTGGACAAATGAGGTTTCTCATATCTATCCATGGTGACGTTTCTTTTGCGGTTCAGTATAGATAGATAGATAGATAGATAGATAGATAGATAGATATAATCAACATCACTGGCAAATTAGTTGTAGTTATGCATTTATGCAAACATTTGTAAAACAAATGTTTTGAAAATTTGTGAATGTATTTCAGAAAATTGCATTAACTTATACGTTTTCCAACAATTCAGACTACCATCGTTTACATATGTGATCTACTCATGTGCATCTATTTCAGTGATATATGCCTCCATTCAGACGATGATAAGTATGCTGACAGTGGTTGCCAATGGAATTATCATATGCATACATAACCTGCCCCCGGACTTTCAAGTCACATTTCCAATATCCAAAGAATCACGAAAACTTCACTCATCGGGGAAAGAGGAGTATGATCTACAAAATGGAGAGAGTTTCAAAAGTTTTTCTCCAAAGTTTGAGTTGTTTTCAATTATTTGGAAGACTATGGCAGTACAACTGGCAGAAGAACGAGTGAAGGCCAAATCACAAAACAATTTGCTTGAAAAGGACAAATGGATCCTGCTTGCTCGTCGACTTGATAAGATCTGCTTCGTATGCTTTTTGTTTCTTCCGATATTAGTGTCGGTCATATTCGGTTGCCTTTTTGCATATTGAGGTGGACGTTAAATAATAATTCATCGTGTAAATAGATCTACACAGTGTTACATGTCGATTCCCAAATTGAAACAGTATGTTAATCTAGAAATATGTGTGTAAAAGAACAGTGTGTGAAACCAACAAATGGTGTACAATCAACAAATGTATTTCAAAATTCTTTGATGTCCCGTTCCCATGCACAACACTTACTTACGTAAGTAATTTCGCACACGTGTAACTGTACATACGTGTGTATATGTAAATTTACCATGCGTTCACATGAAAACTAGCTAAGGTGTGTAAATTAGGCATGTAAATTGTGTAAGGCACACCTATTCATCAGTCTGTTCATGTCTTTCAGCATGAAAGGGTTGTTTCCCTTCAAAGTCGAATGAGCAGAGAGTTATCTTAGAGAAATCTTCACATTAAGCAACATGTTTTAAATTTAATTTGTATCCAAAGTTTGACTCCTTGAAACCAAAAGAAAACACAGTCCGCGTTCACATGACAGGTATACTCACGTTTGTATATTTAAACGTATAGGCAAATTTACACACATATGTAGAGGTGCATGTGAACGGGGTATATTCAAATGCAATATATAATATAATGCCAGTTGTCAGTATCAAATACAAAATACAATGGGGATAGCAAAAGTCAGTGATAATAATGTTTATTACCTGACGTGTTTGAAGTATTAATCTGTTAAACTCAATTGGATTACTTTGTGGATCGTGTAGGTGTCTGCCTATTCATACACGACAGTGAAATTCTCAAGAAAGTTATAAATGGCAAGTAATGAATAGAATACTAAACTCGCTCTCGTGTAATACCAATTTTATGAATCGAGTGAATAGTTCTGGTATCTGACTCGCTTTCGCTCGTCAAATACAAGAACTATTCACTCGTTTCATAAAATTGGTATTACACGGGTCTCGTTTATATATATTCACCCAGCGGCGACGGTGGTCAGACTTCCGAGATTGGCTGGACAGAGAATCAGGGATAATGAGCGATCCTCACGTGGAAGCTGGTTCCAAACCCATGAAATGCGTGCGAAACGAAATGTGTGCGAGAATGTGTGAGAAATGAGGCAGGCACCACTTGTCCCACTATTTATTTATATTGTCTATCTGGCTTCCACAACTTTCCAGACAATGCTTTTAAACTCTATTCAATATCGGACCAGTCTCACCGTTTCCGGAAGTTTACGCACCACACCAGCATCTAAATATAGTAATTCCCTGACGACTGCTTAGATTAAATGGCACTACATTCCTGGCAACAAATGAGTATCTACCGAATCTCAACAGAAACAATGTAGCACAGTTACAATCAGTGTTAAATACTAGTAATACAATACACTGTCATTACACAACAGGATCGCCAATCTAAAATCGGAAATATCTCTTAGAATATGATACAGTGATTCTGGTGAATTCAAAGTTTTGGAATCCTCGAAATAAATCGGGTTGTCCATATTTAAAGTTTTGTGCCAATATTTAAGGATTGAAGTTGTATTTGTTGACGTTCATCAGCTGATGAAGACAGTGCCTCGCGTGAGCAAATTCCAAGATGAGCGAAGTTTTCCCTAATTATTTTTAATGTTATTTTTAGACATTGAGGAATTCCCCTATAGCAGTTCTGTTTGTCTCCGCGCGATTGACAACGTGATCACGTCATCGGGAATCATCGGGAAGTGAACGACAGTCAGTTTGGTAGTGTTCACCTAGGCGAGGTAACCCACTACTTTCAGTATTACAAAGTGACACCTGTCTGTCAGAGTTCACGTGGAGAGAGTTCTACCGACAATAACTGATAACGTTTGCATTTTACAAATGTCGACAAGCGCCGTTGTTTCCAAATGTCTGATCATCAGAAAATCAATAACACACAATGTTTATCTCTCATAATAACGCAGGGATAATGTAAATAAATAGAATAAACACGTCTCAATACATATTTTCTCTCCTGATTGTTATAGGAGTCGCTATTGTGTTTGGCGTCCTAATGGGTTTATGTTAGTTTTGTCCTCGTTTGCTTCCAGGAACACGATGACACAATGAGTGTTTCAGTTACGATGAGTGATTGTAATTTCGAGCTCCATCCCTGCACTATACAACATTCTGGGTTAGGGTCCCGATGAGCACAAAAGGATAATTACTATAAATGTGCTGAATAAAAACATGAAAGAGTAGTTAGTGGTAATGTTTGTGCTGTTTCTAATCTGAACCGGACCCGTCAAGATCCGGGATGGAATTAGTCTTCAGCAACCCATGCTTGCCCATGTTCAACGCCTCACTCACCAATATTCCAGCTATATAACGGCTGAACACGATGCAACAATGAGTGTTTCAGTTACGATGAGTGGTTGTAATTTCGAGCTCCATCCCTGCACTATACAACATTCAGGGTTAGAGTCCCGATAAGCACAATAGGATAATTGCTATAAATGTGGTGAATAAAAACATGAAAGAGTAGTTAGTGGTAATGTTTGTGCTGTTTCTAATCTGAACCGGACCCGTCAAGATCCGGGATGGAATTGGTCTTCAGCAACCCATGCTTGCCCATGTTCAACGCCTCACTCACCAATATTCCAGCTATATAACGGCTGAACACGATGCAACAATGAGTGTTTCAGTTACGATGAGTGGTTGTAATTTCGAGCTCCATCCCTGCACTAAACAACATTCTGGGTTAGGGTCCCGATAAGCACAATAGGATAATTGCTATAAATGCGCTGAATAAAAACATGAAAGAGTAGTTAGTGATAATGATTGTGCTGTTTCTAATCTGAACCGGACCCGTCAAGATCCGGGATGGAATTGGTCTTCAGCAACCCATGCTTGCCCATGTTTAACGCCGCACTCAGCAATATTCCAGCTATATGACGGCGGTCTGTAAATAGTCGAGTCTGGACCAGACAATCCAGTGATTGATATCATGAGCACCGATCCACGCAATTGGGATCGATGACATGCATCAACCAAGTCAGCGAGCCTGACCACCCGATCCCGTTAGTCGCCTCTTACGACAAGCACAGTCGCCTTTTACGGCAAGTATCGGTTTCTGAAGACCTATTCTACCCCCTCAGTTTCACCAATATCCCAGCTATATGACGACGGTCTGTAAATAGTCGAGTCTGGACCAGACAATCCAGTGACTGCTATCATGAGCACCGATCCACGCAATTTGGATCGATGACATGCATCAACCAAGTCAGCGAGCCTGACCACCCGATCCCGTTAGTCGCCTTTTACGACAAGCATAGTCGCCTTTTACGGCAAGTATCGGTTTCTGAAGACCTATTCTACCCCCTCAGTTAACTGCAGACTGGTGAGTGCGAGCTCAAACGAAGATTCCTGAGATAAAGAGGAAATGATTTACAACTGTTTCTGAGGGCGTATATTTCGCTCATTGTTTAGATTCCTTTACTGCAGTATGACTTTGTGAATACTTTCATCATAATTATGTTTAAAGCTAAACACCTTGTCACATGATACAAAAATAATAGAATAGGCAATCACTGGCTAAGCTGTGGTTGGACCTATCACTAAAGACCTTACATAACTATACCCCGTACTTTACCCTCGGATTAGTGGAGAGTGCTTAGGTAAGGAGGGGGCGGTCGGGTAGCCTAGTGGTTAAAGCGTTCGCTCGTCACGCCGAAGACC